CACTGAGGAGAGCTGACCACCTCCTGAGGACAGCAACCCCAGGGCTAACATGGAAAGCTCCCTTCACTTCAGGAAAGGAAGACTATGTTTTCAATGGATGTCCAGGAAATGCCACTGGGCCTCTTATCTGGTCTTCTGTTTATAACAGAAGTTGGTCAGTAAGATTTCCTAGCTAAGGCAGACGACTGGGACCACACTGGGGAGAAAACTGGAACATACTTGGAGAACTACTTTACCATGTGGAACATGAGGTACAGAGTTATCATAAGTCAGAACTGTAAGTACTTTGACTCTCTGGGCTGAGGTGACTGATAGCAGAAAAACTGCTTTCCTCAAACAAATGTAGAGTGGCAGGATGAGTCCAAACACAAAGGATACTTAGCAGTAAATTTAGGCTCCAAAGGCAAATGGGTAACTTAATAGGTGGCCTAAAGTAAGATTACCATAAAGAGCCTGGTTATGAGGAGGTGAAACGCCACTGAAAAACCTTTTATGCTGCAGCAAAGGCCTGGATCCTAAGAGAGCTAGCAGAGCAGCCTCTCTCAAATCCACCTGGAAAGAACTCCATAACTGAAAATACTAGAGGATTTCCTGGCCATGTTCATGGAGATCTAAAACAAAAGGAAAAGATCAACCAACCCTAAAGTGAAATGAAGTGCACATCTGCTGGGAAAAAAAAAAAGTCACTAACCTTTTCTAACTGTTATTTGTCAAGATGTGTTGCACATGTCCATTTGACTCTTTGTGTCCGTGTGCCCACATGCAGAATTGCTAGACATTTTCCCCTCAGTGGTACCCATCAAGGCAGCTCCAGAGCCCTCTGCTGATGCGTGCCACTGAGTGCCAATACAGAAGGCCCAGCTGCCCCCAAGTTCCCTCAGTCCCTTCTTGACAGACAGCTCTGGAGTAGGACAGCAAGTCATGGAATGGACATGTGCAACACATATTAAAGATCAGCAGTTACAAAAGGTTAGTAACCATTTTTTCTTCTTCGAGTGATTGCATGTGTGCATTCCACTCTTCGTGACTTACAAGCTGTAATGAAGGAGGAGGGATTGGAGTTCATTGAAGTACACAGACTGGAGTAAAACTCATTCAAATTTAGCATTCTCTCTGGAGTACTCAGCAGAAGCATAATGGGACGAGAAGGTATAAACTGAAGACCAGGTTGCCACTTTCCAAATGTCCTGGATAAGAACTTACACAAAAAACACCATTGAGGCTGCTTGTGATCCTGCGGAACATGGCGTCAGTTTGCCTAGTGGGGAAATGCCTGCCAGATCATAACAAACACATGCAGAAAGCTATACAAGACCAAATTATTTGTGAACAGATCATGAGACGTTTCATTCTGTTTGCTACGGCCACAAACAGTTGGGTTAACAAATGAAACTAGTTCTGTCTATGTAGAAAGCCAGCTCTCTTCTAATGCGTACAATTTGCAGATGTTACTCCTCTTTATTGGCATGTGGTTTGGGGTAAAACATAGGTAAATAAATTAACTCTTTAATATGACAGTCAGATACTACTTTAGAGAGAAATCTCAGATGAGGCCGCAAGTACGCCTTATCCTTAAAAAAAAAAATTGTACAAGGTGGTTCAGATGTCAGAACACGCAATTCAGCCACTCTTCTGGCTGAAGTGCTACCTATTAGAAAAGCCACCTTTGGCAGTAGGTGAAGTAAGGAACTAGAGCCTCAAACAATGGCCCTTGAGCTTGGACAAAACTAGATTCAAGTGCCAGGGTTATAGGTTCCCTTATTTTAAAGTAATATCTTTCCAGCCCTTCAAGTCATTAGAAAATATAGAACTGTTATCCACATGTGGCTGGAAAGCTGATACTGCTGCCAATTGGACCTTAACAGACCTGTTTTAGGTGCAAGAGATTATCCAGTATATCCTGGATAGAGAACTGCACTGGAGACCCCAATCTGACATGACCAAATAGGAAAGTGCCTCTATTTTGACACGTAAACAGCTCTGATAGTGGGCTTTCCACTATTTAATAATGCACGGAAAACTTGTTCTGACCAAGAGCTGCTAAATGAAGGGCCCGTAGGTTTGGATGGAGCAGTCAACCATGATCTTAGCAGATCAAGTCTGAGTGCAATGGGAGTGAAATTGGAGCTGCCAATGACAGATCCAATAAAGGGGAGGCCACGCTGGGGCTATTAATATAACTTAGGCCTGGTCCTGTTTGATCTTTAGCAGCACTCTGTGTAGGAGTGGGACTGGGGGAAAAGTGTAGTACAGCTTGTTTGTCCAGGGCAGCAGGAAAGTATCTGTGATGGAACCAGGACTGTGGCTTTGTAGGGAGCAGAACTGTTGGCATTTCCTGACAGCTTTCTTTGCAAACAGGTCTATCTGGGGAGTCCCCCACTGCTGGAAATTCATCTGGCTACATCCAGGTGGAGAGACCGCTCATGGTAGCTTGGAAATTATCTACTTAGGTGGTCCACCGGCTCATTCTGCACCCTTGGACGGTAAGAGGCTTTGAGACTCACACTACAAGTTCAGTTAAAGTTCCATCGGTGAATTGCTTCCTGATAAAGCAGAAAAGAGTGAGCTCCCCACTGCCTGTTGAGGTAAAACACACATCACCACAGTTTTCAGAGGAACAGCCATGTTAGTCTGTATTCGCAAAAAGAAAAGGAGTACTTGTGGCACCTTAGAGACTAACCAATTTATTTGAGCATGAGCTTTCGTGAGCTACAGCTCATGCTCAAATAAATTGGTTAGTCTCTAAGGTGCCACAAGTACTCCTTTTCTTATCACCACAGTGTTGTCTGTAAGAACAAACAGGCTTTTTCCCTAGACACGAAATAGGAAAGCCTGACAGATGAGGTAGACAGCCCTTAGCTCTCTGACATGGATATGAAGATAGGAGATCCTTGAGGACCACAAACCTTGAGTTCAGAGGGGACCCAAATGAGCTCCCCATCACACGGCAGATGTGTTCATCACCAGCGTCAGCAAAGGCTGATAGCAGACAAAGGGAACTCCAATACAAACACAGAGGGGGTCTGTCCACCAATGTAGTGAAGTCAGTACTCACAAGGGCACCATGTTCAGATGGTGATGATTTGGTGAATAAACAGAGGCCAGACAACTTTGAAGAGTCCTGAGATGCAGCCTGACATGTTGGACTACATATGTGCACAGTCATATGCCCCAGGAGTATCATACAGTTTTGCGCTGTTGTGATTGGGGGAACCCTGAGAAACAGGATTGTTTGGTGGCATTACCATGTCTCAAAGTTCCTTTTTACAGATGAACACAAAATTCCTTTGGTATAGCTTTTAGGTATGCATGAGTTGGTTATGCCACAGCAATAATCTGATCATAGTAGTATGGATTTTGTGCCATTTCTCTCATACAATAAGCACCTCTCTGCATTTATTAAACATACCATTTGCCTTCTGCTGGAGACCCAGCTCTAAAAGATAAGTACAGTGGAGTCCCACTTCGGACACCCTGGAGAAGACGTGAGCAGAGATTATGATTTAGCAATTGCTGAAAGAGGCAGGTTGCTGGAAAAACATATACTTATCTGTAACTCTGAATTAAGAACATGCAGATATTTGAAAAAATTCCCTTTGTAAAATCTTTTGTAAAACAAATTTTGTTTTACTCAATCAACAGCTTTGCTCATTGAAGACTGTTTTATCAGGACAACTTGCTGGAGCTTAATTTCTTTTGCTGTTGCCTTTCCAATTGCACTGTAATAAATATCAAGGAGTTTGACACAAAACCCTGAGATAAAGACATTGAGCTAAATCCTGTTTGCTTTACTCACATTCAAAATATGAAGAACTACTCAGCTGAGTAGGTGGAGCAGGATTTGATCCACAAACCTCACCCTAAAACTTAGACACATCTCACAAGAAATTACTATATAACATATATACAGCTGTCATTTAGATTAAAAGGCAAAAAAACAGGGCTTTGGAGCAGAGCCTGGAGCTGGAGCGCAGAGCAGCTCCAGAGCAGTGGAGCTGCAGGTTTTTGCCTGGAGCTGGAGCAGAGCCGGAGCACAGCTCAAAAGCCGTGCAAAAAACTGATGCTGCAGAATCAATAAAAATCTTTTTACTATTCTGCCTATGGCTAAAAGCTGTAAGACACACTATTTCATATTTCCATAGTGTTTATATACTATAATAAAAATGAAAAACTGCCCAGAGATACTTGGTTTTAGGTTTGAGATCTTGATAACCTTATTTAATTAAATTCCCCTCTTTTATTGCTGGCACAGATTTAAAGTGGAGAGTGATGCCAGTAATTATCTCTTTTAACTCATTTACTGTAATCATGTTTTAAGTAAGCTTTCAATTTCCATAAACTGATTTGTAAGATGGAACCACAGCAAAAAGCCCTCTTCTACTCGAAATTCAGCAGTTTTGTTCTGAAAATTTCATCTGATGCAAACTGTCCTCCTTTCATCGGTAAAATTTGTGGTCTGGCAAAAAAGGAAATAGCCACAGAAGCATAAAGTGATACTGGTCCAAAAACTGAACACAAAGGTTTGGCACTCTCCAGAAGGGGCAAGTGGTACTTTAGTGATGACTTAGTTGTTATAGTAACTTAATATGTATGTAGCCAACATACTCTGACAACTACCTCCTCCCGCTGCTGCTCTCTGCCCTGTGGCTGCTCAGCCCCTTGTAGGGCTTGCAGGCGTCCCTGATCCCTCCCTGCCTGAACTGTCCTCAATCAATTTAGCAAGTGTTCAAAACAAGACCAACTAAAGGAGCAAACCAGGGGCGATGCACAGTCCCCCATGCGCCATCAGGGTGGGATGGTGCTTGGGGCCGGATCATTTCCGGTAACAAGTTGGAGACTTATCCGTCAGTTTTGGTTGGAGAGGGGAATATGCCAGCCCCGAACCACCTTCTCCTTGACAGCACATTGAAGGCTGGTGGGGGTGCATTGAAGCAGCAGCAGCAGCAGCAGGGTCCGCCCCCTCTTGCCCCCTCTCCCCCCAGCCTGCTCCCCTCACTCACCCCCGCGGCTCTCGGGCTGGATGGGGCTCCACCTGAGCTGCCTGGCGCTGAGCACCACGTCGCAGCTCCTCTTCCCGATCTGGAAGATGCCCCTAAGGAGCGGCTCCTCCTCGCCCCCGGCCGCCTCCCCACCGCGCGGGGGGTGTCTGTCCAGGGGGGGCGCCCCCCGCCTCTCCTCCTCCTCCTCCTCCCCCCACATCGAGGAGGAGGAGGAGGAGGAGGAAGAGGTGGTGGCGGCAATCCCCTGCCCAGCCGAGTCTTCCGCCCCGCTCCCCGGCGGCGAAGGGTCCTCCACAAGCTCGGGCCAAGCTTCTCTCCTGGGGCGGGGGAAAGGGGTCTCGGCCCCCAGCATGGCGGCGCCACCCTCCAAGCCAAGTTGAGGCGAGAGACTCTCCGCGTCCCGGCTGCTGCCAAGGCAGCGGCTCCTCTCCCCCGCCCATCCTGTGAGAGGGCGCGAGCCGGCCGGCGGCGGAGGGAGGCGGGCGCGCGCGCGCCCTCCAGCCGTGCCCGTTAGCGGCCGTCCGTAGGGTCGCGCGCGGAATGGCGGGTGGAGCCTGTCGGAATCCTTACTCCGCTGGGTGCCTGCTGCGCAGCCTTCGCTACAGGCCCGCCTCCTTGAAGGAGGAAAGGGCTGGATGCCGCCCCCACTGACCGCTGCTGGCGGCGTGGGGCAGGGGTCCCTTGGCCGTAGCACATGCGAAGCCTGAGGTGCCTTTACTAGGATCAGGCCCTTTGCTGTGAGCTTGCCCAGGTTGTTTGGAGAGGCACGCAGAAGTCAATGGGAGCAGGATCATCCCCTGAGCCTCAGCCCCTCGCACCCCTGTTACAAGTGTTGCTGGTGCTCTCGCTCTTTTACCTCTGCGTGGAGATTTCACTCCACTTACTAAAATCACCGGGAACGACATGTTGTAATACGGTAACACCCGGTTGCACCGAAAGGTCTGATGATTATGGTCGTGTATAATGTCTCTCTAAACAAAAGTTTAGGGGTTGGAAGGTCTGTTTTGTTTCTGGTAGTTACATGGCAGGGAACTTGTAAGCTTGTTTTCCTAAATAAATAAATAGCAAACAGCTCTCAGAATTTTTTCTCAAGCCTGGCAATATTTGTAGTTTGTATTAAAGACCTAGCTCCTGGGGTCATGCGATACATAAGAATGTTGGTTTTCATTTTTAAAAAAGTTTCTGGCCCTCGTGGCTGCAGAGAAAAGCTTACACAGGTGATCAGCGTGCAGTGTAAAGATTCAAATCTGGGTGGATTTGGGTTCATTTTAAAATACCTTTCTGAGGGGAGAGACACACACACAAATCATGGCTTGTTAAGACACTCTTATGATTTGGGAGAGCTGACTCGTGATTTTTGAATGGCTGGACTTAGCAATGCTGTATGAAGAGGAGATAAGCAAATGTTTGCAGAGAGATTCTCACAAAAAGGGCCCTGTGCAATTGCAAAACATTATTACTATGTAATACCAATTATGCTGGCTGACCAGCTCACATGATGTTCAGAACAGTTCCTGATGACCCTTTTGTTACAACTTTTATTAACAAAAAGTTATACTCAAAACTAGTTTTCTCTAGGATCGACTGAGTGTCAGCCACCAAACATAGATCTGAAGGGCTGTGTTTTAGGCAAACATTTCCCACCATTTCTACACCAATTCAACACCACCATTGATAGCAATATGCTGGAGTAACGTAAACAAGGTGGTGGAGTCATTTGAAATGAGTGAAATTCTGGCCCTTGTGCAGTCAATACGGATTTTGCCATTGATTTCAATGGGGCCAGGATTTCATCCTTGTTCCCTAAAGCTGCTTGGAGCACACCAAAATTATGATGTGAAAACCCTGGCATCCACAGAAGCCTTATCAATGGTAGGGCTCCCATCACGGCATGCACCAGTGTTACCAAAAATAGGAAATTGTGGGACTGGGAAATTAGATTTCATTTGTCCCTTCATGGATAATTGGAATACAATCACAATTGTCAGAACACAGTATGGTTATTATTATTATTTTTCTCAGGATTGCCATCATACATGACAATGTAATAATAGACCTGTCATATCAGCACTTTCTTAATAAAAGAGAAAATATGTCAATGCTTGTCTGTCTGAAGATTAATGTATAATTGTTTCAGATTGTGACTTGTGTGTGCATATCTGATGGCACAATTTGGCTTTAACATATTTTGTTTACATAAAAAGTACAGATAGAGATTTTAGGAAAAGAATTACAGGTCAAGAATGATAAACAGCAAGTTCTCCACCAGTGACCACTATTCTGCTGTTATAGGATCATCATGTCAACCTTTCTGTGAAAAATATTTTAAGTGCAGTACTTGTACATGAAATTTGAAAAAAATAAATATAATAAATATTATAATATAAAATTATATATATATATAATTATAATATAAAAATAAATAAAAATACAGTAGTATATTACCATATTTTATAACAAATAATTAAAAGTTTGTTTAAACAATGATTATTTTACAAGGGACAAATATCTAATCATATAAAACTTCTGCTTGCTTAAAACTCTTAGCAATAAGGGACCTATTCTGACTTCTTTTTTATTTGGTAAGTTGTACCAAATATTTTTTCCATGTGGATCTTCTCTGTTTGAATCTATATACTTTGCGAAATAACAAAATAAAATGCAAAAGGTTGACATTATGTAGAAAATTTGGAGATATCTGTCTTTTGTTTAAACAGAACTTATGCCAGAAGTTGGTATAGCAGGATAAAAAACTGCAGACCAAATATACTTTCCAGAGTATTATTCTGACAACTATAACAGTAGATGAACCAATAAAACCTGTATCAGTTATTTGACAGCAATGAGAGCTTTAATGTATTTTCACTGATGTCACTTAGAAGGAAAGTTAAATGATTAACTAGAAGGTAAAGTACAATATATGATAAAAATAAGAATAGGTACATCAACTTTCAGGCTCTATGCTCTATATTAACTGCTTCAGCAATCTTTATTTGTCTCTGGAACCACTTATTAGCCTACACAGTATATCTCAAATAATAAATGCCAGTTTATTTCTGATAACTCCTTTGTGTCCGTGGAATGGTATTACAGTTTTTACTGACATCAGTGAAAGAGTATTACAGTTCCCAAGAGACTTGTAATACCCTTCAACTGACATCAGTGAAAGTTGTAATAGCCTTGTATTAATTTTACTTTAAGGTGATAGTAAATCAATAACTTAATATTTTAACTAAATAGATTAAAAACATAAAAGAATAAAATTAAATATATACGTAATGTATGTAGCAGAGGAAATCCTTAGAGGAAACATTAGATGTTATTGGCCTCTGCTGCCATTAATAAATACTCCATTATCAAAACCTTTGAGTAAATTCTAGGCTGGTATTTTCTCCCAAGACAACTGTTATTCTATGCATAATACATGGATTTCCAATATACTTAATTAATTTGGTGTATAAAAATATTTTTAAATTCAGATGTATAATATCAATTCATAGATTAGCTGTCACAACTGAAGAGTTTTTCTATACATACTGACTATAATCATTTCCACCTGGCACTGATATAGATCTGCCTTTCAGTAGATTTTAGCTATGGTCTGGATCGATCTTCTAAACCTCCCCATTTGGATCTCTCCTCTCCTTGGTAGAAGGGACCTCAGTTGCCTACATATTCCTGTTCCTGCTTCTCTGGATAGCACAAAAGTCTCTCTGCAGATTTGGGATCTGAGTTGAGAGAGGGGTCTGAGACTGAGCAGGACATGTCATCCCCATCTTGCTGGGGAGAAGAGGCATGCTGGAGAGTCCAGGGAAAAGGTAATACCAAATTACATCTTCCACCAAGACCTCCTCTCCTGGAGATCCAAGAGACAGCAACAGCTTGGTTATGTCCATAATGGAGGGAAGCCACCAGGCTCCAGACTGAATACAAAGGTACAAGGTCTCCACACTATAGTCTTGGCTTTCTGCAGATCTCCCAGGATGTCCTAGGTGTGGAGGTGAGGCCCATGGCTATTTCTGATTGTGGCATGGTCAGCAACATGTGGGAGACATGCTGCTCACTGCTACCAGAAATATGGATAAGGTAGTAAGAATACTGTTGCAAGTTGCTCAAAGATTCTGTAACTTGTCATGTGTGTCCTCCTATTGCAAATAGGCATGTTAGTATTGTGACAATAAACCAATGAGTGTAGGGAAGCCTAGAGCAATGTGGATAGATAAGGAGGTAAGTTGCAGAACATAACCACAGATGGATTTGGTGAAAAAATCTTCAGATGACTTTTTCCTGCTGCCTGGAAGGGCTTTAGAGGGGCTACACGGGAGCCTCATGTTAAAATGTTGGTTATTTTCTATGTTTAAAAAGACTGGCAGTCTTTATATTAAGGAATGTACATCACTTTAAAGATGATCTGTTATCAGTTATTGTATTTAATGTCCCACAATGCACTTCCATCAAGTAAATGGAGGACACACTTTGCCCCTTATTTCAGCAATAATTGTGCAAAAGATCATGCACTGTGATTCAAATGTATGATTTTGTACTGAGTATGATGTTGCACCATGAATAAAACATTGTTGAATGATGTCCTTTAAAAATAGATTTGTGCTATATTTTACATAAGTTATCCGTTATGTTTGAAACTCAGTAGTCACCTATTATTGCTTCTCTGTTGTACTTGTAATACGTAGGACCATTGGAACTGAATCAGATTGGTTTCATTTCCCCTGCTACTCACACATGGAGCAAAGCAGCAGAAAGGGCAGGAGATGGTAGCAGCTGGTAATAGGAGAGGCAAAACCAGAGAAGACGCTAACAAGGAGAGAAGAGGAGTAGCAGGAAACTGGGAAAGCTGACAACCCTTCTTCCACCAGAGCTACCCCTCCCCTGCTGTAGGAAGCTCTATCTCTTTTGCTGTACTCATGTGAGAGAGCAGGAAAAGGGCCAGAAACATTTTCCCTGAAGAACTTTGCCAAGTGAGGGAAGAAAAAAGTTGGGACAACTTCCTGGTAGGAGAAGAGGGGAAGAACATTAAGGGATAGCAGCAGTTTGGGGGAAAGAATGGAGGAGGAACAACCATCAAGAGATGGAGAAGTTCATATCACATGTCCTCTCCCAGCAAGAAGTTTGTAAGTAGAAAAGGGCCACAGAGATGATGGTCAGCTCTGAGGATAATCTGGATGACCAGTTTTTGACTGGTGAGGGATTGTCAGATGCTGGACTCAGGGAAGAAAAATCAGAACTAGGAGAGGATTGAAAGTGCTGTTAGGAATCAATAAGTGTTGATTACCAGGTTGTGACTGGAGAGTGAAATTGAAAACTGCTGGCTGCTGGACTGTATCAGAAGCTAAGAGAGATTAATTTCTGGAAGACCCTGGATTTAGACATTGGAAGCACATCACTGGCTTGCACATTTTTCTGGCTATGACCAC